TTCATAAAAGAAATAATTCGACTAGGTGCACTGATAGGTGAACCCTTCCACTCCAATCTAGGCAACTTTGGCATCACCAAGGTAACCGTCTTGGCATGGCAATCAAGGATAGCGTGATATGAATACAACCAATCCATGCCTAGGATGATCTCAAAGTCGATAAGATCGAGCAATAGAAAATCCGCTCTAGTATCATAACCAAAGAAAGTAACAATGCAGGACCTATAGATCCGATCCACAATAACAGAATCGCCCACATGAGTGGACACATAAACAAGAGTACCCAAGGACTCACAAGGAATACCTAGGAAATGAGCAAACAAAGATGAAACATATGAATATATAGACCCTGGATCAAATAGCACTGAAGCATCCCTACTGCAGATAGAAATAATACCTGTGATCACGGTATTTGAGTTCACTGCATCTGGTCTGGCCGGAAAAGCATAGAACCTAGCTGGAGCGCCACCTGACTGGCCTTCACCTCTAGGACGGCCCCTACCCATCTGCCCTTCGCTTTTGGGCGGCCGGACGGCTGATGAGGCAGCTGGTGTTGTAATCATAGGTTGCTGAGCCTGCTGCACTACCTTGCCTCGAAGCTTGGGGCAGAACTTTTGCACATGACTAAAATCCCCGTACTCGAAACAACCTTTCAGTACGGTGGACTATAGACCTGAAGTCTAACCCTAATGGCCTGAATACCCACTGGAAGACCCCTGAATAGCTAGTGGGTGGTAGGAACTCTTTGGCATGGCACTGAATTAGGGTCGCACTAGAGCACCCTGAGGAGGCGGTAGTGCTAGATATGTGGGCATGTTGGACTGACCTCTTACGAACTGACCTCTACCCCCAACTGGGGAACCTCTAAACTCTCCAGAATATCGAAATCGGTTATCCCTCGTAGCCTGCTCTTGGCTACACTGACGCACACTCTCGATCCTCCGAGCTATCTCCACAACTAGATCGTAAGAAGTCTCCATCTCAACCTCCCGGGCCATAGTGGCCTGAATACTAGTGTGCGAACCTGCAACAAACCTCCACACTCTCTTTGTATATGTAGGAAGAATCATAAGTGCATGGCGAGACAACTCAAAGAACCTCGCCTTATAGTTGGTCACTGACATCTGACCCTACTTGAGCTGCTCAAACTGAAACCGTAACTCTTCCTTCTGGGAGGGTGGAATACACCTATCCAGAAAGATATGAGTGAATCGGTCCCAAGTCTTGGGAGGAGAATATGCTGGTCTACCGAGGAGATATGGCTTCCACCACCTACGGGCCCTACCCTCCAACTGGAAAGTAGTAAACTCCATCCCGTGGGTCTCAAATATCCTCATGTTATGCAGTGTGTCCCTGCACCGATCAATGAAGTTCTGAGGGTCCTCATGCCGCTCACCTCCAAAGACAGGAGGATGAAATTTGGTCAATCTATCCAATAGCTTATGCAGCTCACTGGCCACAGTTGGTCTGGGCTCAGGTATAGTTGTTGTAATTGGTTGGGCTCCGCCCACGGGTAGTGCGCCCGGGGTCTAATACACGACAGTTGCATGCCCTTGAGTCTGAGCAGTAGGGGTCTGTGCTCCCCCTCCTGCCTGAGATGTGGCTGGGTCAGTTGGAAATAAACCAGCCTGAGTCATAGAATCCATAAACCGCATCATACGACCCATGACATCCTGGAAACCTAGCGCGGACATGAAATCCGCTGGGGCTGGCTTCACTGCAAGCACCTCGCCCTGCTTCTCAATAATAGGATCCTTTATTGGATCTGCTGGTGGCATAACTGGAGCAACTCTAGGACGTCATCGTCTCCTACCACGGGTTGGAGCCCTCCCTGGGCCTCTAGCAACGGGGGGAGCAGCTCCTCCATGGTCTGAAACATCCGTTGCGTGCGTTCTCACCATCAGTAAGAGAATGATATAAAGATATTTAGTACCACATCAACTGCACGATAGGAGATGAAGAAAGAGTAGTTTCCTATCACCCTATAGCCTCTCGAAGATAAGTACGGACGTCTCCGCACAGATCCACAAGGCTCTATTAGGCCTGCTCATAACTTGTGAAACCTACGTGAACTTAGTGCTCTAATACCATGTTGTCATGACCCAATTATCTTATATGCCATGATGGCACCTATCGCCGCCGCTAAGCAAGCCAACAATGAACTAACCACGTGATTTCTCCTTTTAATAAATTTTCAGGTAATTAAATTTTTCCTTAATTAAAAGATTTAAGAAACAACAAGTTTAAATAAATAAAACCAAAGTAGCTAGGTGAAATCATAACCATAGTAATATTCCAAAATCACAAGTCTGCTAATGTGTGCCAAGACCTGGTTTCACAAATGTATGAGCATTAATAGATTATACAAAACTCTAACTACTATCTGAGAAGAAAATAGACAAAAATGAATGCAAAGGAGAGACTCTAGGCGCTGCGGAACGGCTCAGGAAGCAGCTCACCACTAAGCCTCCGGGTAACGGGGATGCGTGCCGGTGTGATCGTGAGATGCACTTGCCTCAGCTTCTGCACGGTCAGTGCAGAACCTCGGAGAAGTAGTGACGAGTGGTCGACTTCGACACTTACTATGGGCTAACAATATGAAATACAGAAATTCTAAATAAACATGGGTTATGTAAGTAATAATAATAACTCATTAACAAGCAAAAACAAATAATTCTTTCACAACTTAATAAATTCCAAGTAAATTCCCGTCATTAATAATTGTAACCTAATAATCCACAATAATATCAAGTATGATTAGGCTCCGAGTATTATTAAGCACGATTTATACCGAGGTCATACGGCCCGATCCAGAATAACGTGTACACTGCCGAGGCGTTCGGCCCGCTCCACAAGAAATGAGGATACTTTATAAGCATTTGACTTAAAACGTTATATGCTAATACATAATGTAATATATTTTCCATTAACGGTGAAGTAATACACTCTAAATTCAAGAAAGTAAAATTCGGTCTTTTACAATTTCTCTAACAAGTTCTAATATAATTTAGGCACTTAAATTAACAAGCAGGGTGCAAACAATACAAATAATTCATGATTTGGGTCCTAAACTACCCGGACATAAGCGTAAATAGTAGCTACACACGAACTCCCGTTACCTCGTGCGTACATAGTCCCACAATTAGAAGCAAATATTAATTTAAATCACCTATGTGGTTAATTCTCTCTTATGAGGGTAGACTAGAGACTTACCTCATCTCGAAGCTCACTTTTCGGTCTCAAATTCACTCTAAATTCTCAATTCGGTGCTGAATAATCTGAAACTAGTCAAATATTGTATAAATTAATCAACACATGTTCAAAAGTTCATATTCTAACTATTAGAGTGATTACCCAACCCCAATTGAAAGGTTCCTAAAATTCATCCCCAGGCCCACGTGCTCAGATTCCGAAAATTTTCGAAGAAAGTCGTTACCCATAGCCTCACGAACTCAAATATATAATTTTCACTCAATTCCATAACTATTTTCGTGGTTTAATCCCATTTTTATCAAAACCTAGGTTTTTCATCTAAACCCATAATTTTTCATAATTTTACATGTTAAAATCTACTCATAATCTATATTTTAAACTCATATTGTATAGAAATTACTTACCTCAAAGTGCTAGGTGAAAACCCCCTTCCAAGAGCTCCAAAATTGCCCAAGAGATGAGTGAAAATGAGCCAAGATAAACTAAGTCCTGCATTAAATGGACCATTCTGCCTTCAGGGATTCTCGCTTCTGCGGAAAAATCATCGCAGATGCGTCCCTTGCCCAGTTGGCCTACTTTCGCATCTGCGGACCATTGGCCCACTTCTGCGGGTCCGCTGCTGCGACGCGCGTGCTGCACCTGCGTCTTTGGCCGCTTCTGCGATTTCCTCCATCGCACCTGCGCATTCGTAGGTACGCACACTAACCCGTATTTGCGGTTCTTGGGCTGCTCCTGCTGGGCCGCTTCTGCGGCTGCTGGCTCGCTTCTGCGAGCTTGCACCTGCGGCTGGCCCTCCACTGGTGCGATTACACCAGAAGTTGGGTGCTTCAGCCATTCACCCAAGGTTAAACGACCTTCGCGCATTGTCCGAAAGGCATCCGGTGCCCGCGAGGCCCCGTCTAAATATACCAACAAGTTTGAAATCATAAAACGGACTCGCTCGCACCCTCAAAACACGAAAAATAATATCAAAACTAAGAATTGCAACCAAAAACCAATAGGATCAACTTATGAACTTCCAATTCTTCCAACTTACTCCTAATGTGCTGATTCGTACTTAAACTACTTGTAATGACACCAAATTTTGCGTGCAAGTCTTAAATCACCATACGGAACTATTTCAAGTCCCGGAATCCCAAACGGAACTCAATAATACCAAAACCTACTCCAAACCAAATTTAAAAAACTTAAAAACCTTCAAGGTGCCAACTATCAATATTAAGCGCCAAAACGCTCCCGGATCATCCAAAACCCGATCCGAACATACGCCCAAGTTCAAAATCATCATAGAACCTATTGAGACCGTCAAATCCCCATTCCGAGGTGCAATTTGTGCATATTTGTAGTTGCTATAACTATAACCATGATAATGTGATAATAATGATTTTCAAGGTGCAACATATTCATTGGAGTTAATATGACTGATTTATTCACCAAATCTCTGCCAACATCAACCTTCAAGAAGCTAGTGCACAAGATTGGGATGCGAACGCTTAAGGATGTGAATTGATGTTCTCATCAGAGGGAGTTAATACGAGTTGTATCCTTTTTCCCTTAAAAGGTTTTGTCCCACTGGATTTTCCTTGCAAGGTTTTTAACGATGCAACCAAAAAGTCGTATTGTTAGATACGTGTACTCTTTTTTTTTTTCAGTGGGTTTTATTTTATTTCAAGTTTTAACGAGGCAATAGACACGGAACAAGCTTCTTCCCCTACAAACGCACCTTGAATGTCTGTCTTAATAAAACATGAAATTTATTAGAACATATTAAATTACATTTAAAGATAAAAATCAAGTGTAGATAAGTCAAATCTTTAGCTTATTTATATGCACATCTCAAGCAGCCTTTCAGTTCGTTGCCCCAAGATAAAGGAGGAGTAGAAATCTCCTAAAAATGGCGGATGCCTCAATATCTATTCTTTAAAATATCCATAGGCGTGGGCGTGGGCGTGGGCATGGAGGATATAAATGGATAATATATAGTAAGAAAAGAATGGGAGAGATGCTGACATAACAAGCAACAAGCTTAGGGTGCCAGCGAGTTTGACGGGCAAATCACTAACTCCTATTTATGGCGTCATTGGCACCAATATTTCATGATCATTATTTGCCTCGATTTAAGCACCATTCTCATTCCAATAACAATTCCTTCTTATGTTCCAATCCATATTCCTTCTCTTACCCGTACTGTTGTTCTTCATCGGCGTCCTTTAATTGGAAGAACTTTGTCATCGTTTCTGGTAAATTATTTTCCCTCCTTTTACAGCTTATATCAAATTCTAATTGAAATTTGTGCTTGCTCAAATGAATGCTAACATGAGGTGTTTGTTTGGCCACGCTTATGCATTTTAGTTTGATCATTAATTGGATGCAGTAATGATTCCTTTAAAATTCATTCTATTAGTAAATTGGTTAGTGCTTGAAGGCTGAAGCAACCGATATATGGATTAACACTGTAATACTAAATACAAATGAGATCTTTGTTTTGAATTCTGTGCCTTGAGCAGATATGTGCAGATATTCTGTTGAGGCTGAAACATTCAACTCGTCATCTATAAGTTGAAAGCGATAAACCAGAAATACATATCTGTTTTAATTTGTCTTATTATTGCCAAGAAGCTTTCGTACACCTCAACTATTCCATCAGGGGCCACGATTTAGGTAGATGAGAAGAAATCACTCAACCATTTTGCCTCTGCTGGAATTCAGACCTTGGTCTCTCATGGTCTTCATCCTAGCTTCATTGATCGCTAGGCGGTACCCTTGGCTGCAACTACCTTTGCTTGGAGTAGCTGTGTAGTTCTTCATTTGACTCTATGCCTTATTCTTTAGGTTGTCTTTTGGGACCTTCAATATCAACTACCTTTGCTTGGAGTAGCTGGTATATCATTATAACCTTATTCTGTAAGAAAAACTCTAAAAGTAAACTTGGGTGGGTCAATTCCATAGAGCACCCTAAATGGGGTCATTTGCAGGGTTGGACGAAGCTGGTGTTATACCATAGTCAGCCTAGGACAACCATTTGCACCACTAACCATTTGTACAGTCTCCCTGTTTGTCTACTGGTTCGTGGATGATAGGTTGAACTAAAGAGAATTTCGGTCTGTGGTGCCTTAAAACAACCCTTTCCAAAATATGCTAAGAAATATCTTGTCTTGGTCAGTCACGATACTATCTGGGGGAACCATGTAACTTGTAGATATTTTCTAAAAATGGCCTGCTCACTTGCTGAGCAGTGGAAGGACCTGACAATGGGAGGAAATGAACGTAGTTACTATATCTATTCACTACCACAAAAAAGTATCCATACTCGCAGATTCAGGAGCCCTTCGTGGCAATGTTCGTCCAAACCTTATGAAGCATAAGCTAGGGATACAAGTGAAATTTAAGGAACATATCAACAATCTTGTATCTACTTCTTAATATCAGTCAACATTGAAGGCCAGTAGAACACACCTGTCATCATATGTTGACTAGCAAGGATCCTTGAATGACCCCAACCCTAAGAGATGAGGGGTGTGTAGCACTAAGTAGCTGTCCTCCAAGCTTACAAGTGCTGCCAATCTACGTTTTAACATTCATTTCTGCAAAGTCAAGGATTGCATGCGGGTTAATATTATTGACTGCAACTATGACTTAGCCTGTTTGGTCAAGCTTCTCCGATCCTAGAAGCACTTTTTTTTCCAAAAAAGTGCTATTTTTCCAAAGTTGAAGTGTTTGGCCAAACTTTTGGAAGAAAAAAAAGTGCTTTTGAGGAGAAACCGGAATAGTTTTGGAGAATCAGAAAAAAGTAGCTTCTCTCCAAAAGCACTTTTTTGAAAAACACTTTTGAGAAAAATACACTAAGAAGCAGTTTTTAAAAGCTTGGCTAAACACTAATTGCTGCTCAGAAGTGTTTTACAAATTAATTAGCCAAACACAAACTGCTTCTAACCAAAAGTACTTTTGAGAAAAGCACTTTTGAGAAAAAGCATTTCTCAAAATAAGCTTATTTTTGCAGTTTGGCCAAACAAGCTATTAGTCGTGTCCACATCACCTTCATATCTAGCTAGAACCTCCTGTGTCCAAGTAGGTTGTAATTGAGATATGTTGCTGCATTAATTAAGTTCTGCATGCCTGTGAGATAGAGCATCAGTAGATGAATAGTCCACTCCTCCCTTGTAATGTATTTCATAGCTCGAATCCATAGTTTAGTGAAACCCTTCTACTATGGTTTAGTGGTGATCTTATTGCCATTGAAGTTTCTCAAACTAAAATGATTGGTCTTTGCTGTAAAATCAGTAGGCTGTAAATAATGCCTTCGTGCGTCTATTACAATCCATAAGACAATTAACTTCTTTAATCTGTAGGCAAACCTTGACGTGTAGCACTTAGAGCCATCAAATGCCACAGCAACTAATTCAGGATATTTCTGGTTCATTGTGACGCATAGATAGTGCTTTTATAATTCACTCCCCCTATGTTAGTGTGTAGTTTGTCAAGAAATAATTTATGAGCATGTCCGCTGATATGTGAGGATTGAAATTGCTCTGGGAACTCGATCATTTGGTTCTAGCATGTAATGATAATGCTACGTTCTAAATAAATGGAAATGAACTCTGGTACTCTACTTTAGTCAATGCCATGTTGCTTGTGGTGTCCTTCCACTTGTCGGTGCTGTAGCTTGCTTCCAGCTCATCCTCCTATGCAGGTTGTGTGGATATCTGCTAAATGATAAGAGTTGAAGCTGCTTCAGGGACTTACTGATATACTGAAATCTGCTTTAGGCAGTTCTATATTGCTCGTTATGTGCTTTCAGGTGTCAGCGATATGTACCTACAGCTAGCTTCCTCCTCTACTTTGGGTAGGTTGCTTGATATAAAGGGTGATGTCAACGTTTGAAGTCTTATGTGTTTGTGGTGTCCTTTGGAAAATAATGAGCGTCAAGTTGCAACAGTTTGCCCCTGCTTATTTTATGAATTTGGAATATTAACTTTCTATATCATAATTCAGATATGATGGCAATATGCTCTTTTGCAACCTCCACATCTTTGTTTATGCTACAGATGTTTTGGATAGTATTGCATTCTCTCTTTCTTCTCTTTTTTTTTGCAAATTGTTTTTCTACAGTTTTGAGAAAGTTACCCGCCCTTTCAGCAGGCATAAATAGTTTTTGGAGAAATCGAAGCCTTAGAGCCCAGGTGATGAGTTCAACTGAAAGAAGTGTTTTGTCACCAAGTTGGTTGTTGGACATGGAGGATAAGCCTGAGCATCTTCTTGTTCTTGTTCATGGCATCTTGGCAAGGTAGGCAAATTCTTTGCTCACCCAATGAGGGTAGCATACCTATATCTACTTTCTAATTGAAGTATAAAAGAGTACTTAAAAGAAGGATCAAAAGAGAAAAATAGAAAGTGAATAATGAATGAGTCACTGTTGATATCAACAATTTGAGATGGCAAATGCGTAGGATAAAAGTTAAACAAACTAGTGTGTCACCTGTTTCCATGTTCATCCAAGCATACGTTCGGGCTTAATTGATGTTATCCTTCTGCAAACAGAAAGCATTAGCATTTATAGGGTGCATGTGGTAGAACCTAAGAATAAGTTTCAAGAGGTAATAATGCATGTATCTTCTACATAACTGATAGAAGGTGTGAAGTCTTGAATGCAGTAACAGTTATTAATGGTTCTTATCTCTCATACATATCTCTTAATTGGTTTGTTTGATAGCAATATTTTTTACTTTGGTCAGGCCCAATCTTTGTCATTCTATATTGCTGAAGAGAAAGTATCAGCAGGGAGAAATATCTTTGCAATCGGATAACAAATGAGTACAGTCAGACCTCTCTATAACAACTATCCTCTATAAAAACATTTCGCTATGACGGTCAAGTTTTCTTTGGAACCGATTTTTTACGTGATGTTATATTATATATTCTCTATTACAACATTTCGTTATTGCAACCAAAAACTTTTCGGACAACGACACCGTTATAGAGAGGTTTGACTGTACTTGATTATTGTGTTTTTTGCTGTTGGTATACTAATTACTAGGTTTGGTTTCAAGTTGTCTTTTTTTCATTATACAACATGTTTTACTTTTTCCCGAATTCCCGAATTCCGAAGGAGCATGAAGTTCTATCTGAGCCTTCTCTCCTTGCTTCTCCATGGGTGACATGCATCACCTTTATCTATTTTGGGTGAAAATGCTTTTGTAGTATTCATGAGTCAAGCTTCTAAAGGTGGATGTACAATTACCTCAATTCATCAGGTTGTCGATGATATTGTAGCTGATATTTTAATGGGTACTATGCTAATTGCTGATCTCGTGCATAGATCTTATAGTAGCATCTGGCACTCAACTAGCTTGTCATGTTGTTTGCATGGGATGCAGCCCAAGTGATTGGACGTATGCACAAGCAGAGCTTAAAAAGCAGTTGGGAAGAAACTTTGTGATCTATGGTATAGCTTTCTGTCCAAATTGTCTAATGTCATACTTTCTTGCTTTTGCTTAATAGTTTTGATTTTCTTGCTTCAATTGCACTCTACTCTGAGATACCGAAGTGCCAAAAAGCTCTTGCTTCCATCACATGAGAATATTATGAATACAAGCTGCCAAAATTTACAAGCTGTGTAAACCAGAATATTTAACTCCAATACATTTTGGAAGCTCGATGCTTAACATTTCAACATTTGGAACCATCTTAATGCATTTTAAATGAAATGATTATTAGATTTGTCAGGAAGAAAGTTCCGGGTCCGAACACTGTACTTATATTCTGGTATAGAGAATCACACTCTGACAGCTTAGTAAGTTATTGTCTATTAAACATAGGCGCTTTTCCATCGCCCTCGTTTTCCCGTCTGAATACAAGATGAAGTCATTGCGACAATTAACAACAAAGTAAGCTTTATGCTTCTCTCTAACTATTATTTTACTAAGGAACGATAAACGAGATTAGCTATATATCCTATGCATAGAATCCAATTCTTTACATCTTTGCATCCCTTTTGAAAAGAAACTTTAGCTCATTCAGCAAGGAAGGATAAGTAATTTCTGCATCGTCTTCTTTCCTCTATTCTTCTTGTCCTTGTGGTCGAGGAAGATTGAATTGCATTGTAGGAGTTACCTGTTAAACAGGATATGGATATTTTTCTCCAACGCAGAACCATATAAAGGGCAGCCCGGTGCACAAAGTATCCCTCATAAACGTAGTGTCCGGGCAAGAACCGTGCCCCAAGGGGTGTGATGTAGACAACCTACCCTAATGTAGAACCAGATCAGTGGGAAAATTTCAGTTATACTTTTGGGAGAATAGTGTTCATGTCCCAGTAGAGTTGTGAGAATATACGGGAGAAAATATGATTGATATTATTCACATATGTTAAACATGATACAATGACCCCTATATATATATACATAACATGTCCTACTCCTAATACATATGGGATTAGGACTATTTTTCCTATTTACATAACTATATTCTAACACTCCCCCTCAAGCTGGTGCATATAAATCATATGTACCGAGCTTGTTACATATGTAGTTAATACGAGGACCAGTGAGGGACTTGGTGAAAATATCTGCAAGCTGATCATTCGACTTCACAAACTTTGTAGCAATATCTCCCGAGAGTATCTTTTATCTGACAAAGTGACAGTCAATCTCAATGTGTTCAGTTCTCTCATGGAACACTGGATTTGACGCAATATGAGGAGCAGCTTGATTATCACACACAAGTCCCATCTGACTAATCTCACCAAATTTCAACTCCTTGA